ATCACTTCTGCAATAGTGCAAGAGCGTGAATACCAGGGGGTGGGGATCGCTGGGGCCATCATCCAACAACTGCCTAAAACAATTTCCATTTATTGATCTATACCAGTGCCATTATCACACTGTGTTACTGTAGCTTTATATTAAGTTGTTATCTGGGAGGGTAGGTTCCCCTACTTATTTATTCTTCAAATTTGTCTTGCCTTTTGGGGACTCTAAAAATAGAATCTAGAATTAGTTTATTCAGTTCATAGAAAACCCATAAGGCTTTTATTGAAATTGCTTTACATTAATAAATTTGTAAACAAATAAATCTAAGACAGAGTCTTTCTATCCATTCATTTGGTTTCTCTCTCACATATTTCTAGGAAGTTCACCAGAGGGATTCAAGAAAAAAAACAAAAAACAGTTTGGGTGTCTTTTTGATAAACTGTATCAGATTCATCCCTTTTGTCTGGGCTGGCTATGCAAAACTTCAGTGGTAATACACAGTGTATAGAGAGTTTGAAAATCATCTCAATTTCTGGGTTTAGCAACTTTAAGGCCTATCTCCATGTTAAAGATCTGTTGTTCTAGTACACTGAGTTTTGATGAAATATCACTTAATAAGTTAGTACTAGGTATGCACAAAATTCGTTGAAATTCTTATCATGCCCACCTTTTTGAGTGGACATGTATGGTTCAGTTTGCAGCAACCCTCTCTCCTTATAAGAATAATATCCCTCTTCTTTTTGGGAACTGCTTTGCCCTCCACTTCAACCAGGTAAATTCTAATCCAATAAGAGAATCACAGTCTTATATAATCCAATCTCAGAATGGCAGTGCCTTGACCATTGGGGGTAAGTACAGGTGCTAGCCTATGCCAATCATAGCTTCTCCTTGGATTTTATCAAACTGGAATTCAGGGAGAAGGTTCACGCTCTCTCTCTGGTAAGAGACTGAGAGGCCAAGAGCTTCATTTCTAGATGACTGGATCAAGTGTGCCTGACAAAATGAAGCTGAGATGAGAGATGGAGACATCTTGGTAGTGTCCAGGGGCATAGTGCCAGATGCTGAATGCCAGATGCATCCCTCCCCTGCTTCAGTTTGATTAGGTGAGCCCATAGGCTCCTGTTTTGCCCACCCCCTTGCAAGCAACATTCCTGACATCCATCTATCTTCTTGCTAATTGAAATGGGGCTCCCAGCAAACAAATGCCCTGGCACAAATGGTTTCACAGGGGAGTTGTACCAAACTTTCAAAGAAGAACTAACACCCATCCTCCTCAAACTATTCCAAAAAACCCAAGAGGAAGGAACACTTCCAATCTCTTTTTACAAGGCCAGCATTATCCTAACTCCAAAACCATATAAAGACACTACAAAGAAAGAATTACAGGCCAATATCCCTGATGAACATGGATGCTAAAATCCTCAACAAAATATTAGCAAATTGGATCCAGCAATATATTAAAAAGATCATACACCATGACCAAGTGGGATTTATTCCAGGGATGCAAGGCTGGTACAATATTAGCAAATCAATAAACATGATACATCACATAAATTGAAAGACAAAAATCACATGACAATACCAATAGATGCAGAAAAAGCATTCTACAAAATCCAACATCCATTTGTTTTATTTGTTTTTAATTTTTTTATTGATTTTTAGTGAGAGTAAGGGAGAGGGATAAAGTGATAGAAACATTGCAGAAGGAGAAACATCATCGATTAGTTGCCTCTTGCACACCCTCTACTGGGGATCGAGCCTGAAACCCAGGCATGGTCAAGCTGATGACCTCTTGGTTCCTGTGTCAATGCTCAACTGCTGAGCCACAATGACCTGGTCCAACATCCATTTTTGATAAAAACTCTCAGCAAAGTGGGAATAAAGGGATCATACCTCAACATAATAAAGGCCATATATGACAAACCTACAGCAAACATCACACTTAATGGGCAAAAACTAAAACCATTTCCCTTAAGGACAGGAACAAGACAGGGATGTCCATTTTCAATACTTTTATTCAACATAGTACTGGAAGACCTAGCCACAGTGATCAGACAAGAAGAAAAAATAAAAGGCATCCAAATTGGAAAGGAAGATATAAAACTGTCATTATTTGCAGATGACATAATATTGTATATAGATAATCTTAAAGACTCCATCAAAAATTACTAGATTTAATAAATGAATTCAGCAATATAGCAGGATACAAAATTAACACCCAGAAATCAATGGCATTTTTATACACCAGTAATGAACTCTCAGAAAAAGAAAGTAAAAAAAATTCCCGCCTGACCAGGCATGGCTCGGTGGTTGAACATCGGCCTAAGATCCAGGTGATCGGGGTTCGATTCCCGGTCAGGGCACATGCCTGGGTTGTGGGCTCGATCAATGACTCTCTCATCATTGATGTTTCTATCTCTCTCTCTTTCCCTGTCCTTTCCTCTCTCTGAAATCAATACAGATATATTTTTTTTTTAAAAATTCCCATTTACCATTGTTACAAAAAAATTATTTAGGAATAAGCTTAACCAAGGAGGTAAAAGACCTGCACTCAGAAAACTACAGGATGTTGCAAAAAGAGGTAGAGNAAAAAAATTCCCATTTACCATTGTTACAAAAAAATTAAGATATTTAGGAATAAGCTTAACCAAGGAGGTAAAAGACCTGCACTCAGAAAACTACAGGATGTTGCAAAAAGAGGTAGAGGAAGATATAAACAAGTGGAAAAATATACCCTGTTCATGAATTGGAATAATTAACATCATTAAAATGTCCATACTACCCAAAGCAACCTATAGATTCAATGCAATCCCTATTACAATACTAACAGCATATTTCACAGAGCTAGAACAAATACTCCAAAAATTTATAGGGAAGGAATAAAGACCCTGAATAGCCAGCAATCTTGAGAAAGAAGAACAAAGTTGGAGGGATCACAATACCAGATATCAAGTTATACTACAAAGCCACAGTAATCAAAACAGCCTGGTACTGGAACAAGAGCAGGCATATAGATCAGTGGAACAGAACAGAGAACACAATTTGATCTTGGCCATTACACTCAATTAATATTTGACAAAGGAGGCAAGAACAGACAATAGAGTAAAGACAACCTCTTCAATAAATGGTGTTGGGAAAATTGGACAGGTACATGCAAAAAAAACACCCCAAAAACCAAATGGAACTAGACCACCAACTTACACCATACACAGGAATAAACTCAAAATGGATAAGAGATTTAAGTATAAGACATGAAACCATAAAAATCCTAGAAGAAAACGTAGGCAGCAACATCTCAGACATCTTTCATAGCAATATGTTTGCTGATATATCTCCTAGAGCAAGGAAAATAAAGGAGAAAATAAACAAATGGGACTACATCAAAATACAAAGCTTCTGCATAGCAAAAGAAACCATCAACAAAACAAAAAGGGAGCCCACTGTGTGAAAGAACATATTCTCCAGTGACACATCTGATAAAGGGTTAATATCCAAAATATTTGAGGAACTCATACAACTTAACAAAAGAAGACAATCCAATTAAAAAATCAGCAAAAGATCTATATAGACACTTCTCCAAAGTGGATATAAAGATGTCCAAAAAACATTTGAAAAAATGTTCAAAGTCACTAATTATCAGAGAGATGCAAATTAAAACCACAATGAGGTATCACTTCACACCTGTCAGAATGGCTGCCATCAACAAATCAACAAATGGCATGTGCTGGCAAGGGTGTCGAGAAAGGGGAACCCTAGTACACTGCTGGTGGGAATGCAGCCTGGTGCAGCCACTATGGAAAGCAGTATGGAGTTTCCTCAAAAAATTAAAAATGGAACTGCCATTTGACCCAGTGATCCCACTTCTAGGAATATATCCTAAGACTCCTGAAACATCAATCAGAAAGAATATATGCACCTCTATGTTCATAGCAGTATTATTTACAATAGCTAAGATCTGGAAACAGCCCAAGCACCCATCAGTAGATGAGTGGATAAAAAGCTGTGGCACATTTACACCATGGAATACTATGCAGCTGTCAAAAAGAAAGCTCTCTTACCCTTTGAGACAGCATGGATGGACCTGGAGAGTATCATGCTAAGCGAAATAAGCCAGGAAGAGAAAGACAAATATCACACGATCTCGCTCATACATGGAATATAATGAACAAAATAAACTGATGAAAAAAATAGGTCCAGAGACATAGAAGCATGGAACAGACTGACGAATCTCAGAGGGAAGGGGGGGTATTAACCTCAGAATTTTTATGTATATATGCATAACCCATGGGCACGGACAAAAGTGTGGTGAAGGCTTGGAGGGGTGGAGGTAGGGATGGGGTGGAGAGGGACAACGGGGGAAAAAAGAGGACCCCTGTAATTCTTTCAATGAACAGAAATTTTTTTAAAAATGTACCTTAATAGAATTAACGTAAACACAAAGTTTTGGACCTTCAGCTCGTAAGTCGTGAAATAATGACTGAAATCTCATTTGATTTTCAACAAAATCCTGCAAGGAACTCAGAGGGCTCGGTTATTCCAAGCTAATAAACAGTGGAACCAAGACTTGAACCTTGGTTTTTGACTAAGTCAGAATTATTTTAATAATTCAGTTCTGTTTAACCTAGACTTTGAGGTTCTCATACTTTCAAAAGAATATCCCCCAATTCTCTTTCCATCAGATTTGAATTTCCTACCAAGTTGCAGCCCTGAGGTATGGGTGGTTACTGAACTTTAACAGTCAAGCAGAAATAAAATTAGGTCACCAAACAACGCATAGAAGCCCCTCTTTCCAGCCGGCGGGTACTTTTGGGTGTGCGCTAGTTTCTGCTCCCCGCAACCGGTCCTCCCTTTGGGCGCAAGGCACCTTGGGAGTTGTAGTTCTGTGGCTGGAGGCGCTGACTCACTGACGCACAATCAGCGCAGAACCAACCTGCTCTCCGCACAGCTATTGGCTGGAAGTCGCGGCGGCCCCGCCCCCCCACCGGCGCCGGAGGCGGTCGCTGGGAGAGGCACCTCGGCCTGGGCGGGGTGTGGGTTCCAGCCGCGTTCTGGGGACCTTCGCCTGTGATACAGCTTCGCAGCCATGGCAGAACCGCAGCCCGCGTCCGGCGGCCTTACCGAGCAGGCTGCCCTCGGTTGCTGCTCGGACCCGGACCCCAGCACCAAGGTGGGCCCAAAACCTACTTCTCCTGAGTCGGGGCCCCCATGTGGTGCGGTTGGGGGGGTCCAAAGAGCCAGCCGATTCCCGGGCTCAGCCAGGCCCGGCTCGGACTGGATTCCAACCCCGTTCGGCCGCCTCTGCAGCTCTGCCTGCCTTGGACTGGCCGGATGGGCTGGGGAGAGGGCCAATGGTGTCCAGCGGGGGGATCCGGGAGAGGACCCATTTCTTAAGGTTATTTCCAAGTCTGCAGCCCAACTTGCATGAACTTTTAAATTCTGGGATGGTGAGTGGCGGCGACGGCTGACGCAGAGTCGGACCCGCGGTCTGTGGGTTGCGCGCGCCCGCGGCCGGGGGCCGCGCGGGTCGGAAGGGCGCTGTCTGAAGTCCCCCCGCGGGTCGAAGGTCCATCCCTCCGGCCCCTCCCCGGCCGCCGCGCCTGCAGCCGCTGCCCCGGCGCCCGGCGTGACTCCCGCGAGCTGGCTCTGTCGGCCCGGGGGTAACCGCGCCCAGAATTTCGCTTTTCCTTGGCTTCGGCTTCTGCCCCGCCTGTGCGTGGTGGCCCGAGGAGAGAGCGCAGCATCTTGGAGCTTAGCTCCCAAAGGAACCTTGGAAATTTCTTCACCGGTCGTCTCCTTTCGCCGGGACCCGGTAGGGGAATGAATGACCTGTTGCATCGGGAAGGCTTTCGTCCCTCCCGCTTGCCTCACGTGTCTGCAGGAAGAGTCATTGTAACGAACTCACCGAGGTGCGGTGCTTGCCGGCGTCGGCAAGATTAGACACAGTACTCGCGGGGCTGTACTCCCGGGCACTCAGCAGTGTCAGGAAAGCCTTTGTGTACCGATTCAGTGGGCTGGGGGGGTTCTAAATTCCTTAAAGATTGAACGTGCTTTATGCAGCCCTCTGAGAAGGGTGAATGACTTTGGTCCCTGCTTGCTCTTTGCCTTCAGGGTGAAGAGTCATCCACCTGTAATTGCTAAAGCCTTTGACTAATATCTGGTACTTAGGTGAGGCAAAACCTTAGTCACTGCGAAACTAAGGCGAAAGAAAGAAAGAAAGGTATATATGTGTACACACACACACACATTCTCTCACACTTACTTGTATACCTTCTAATAGTAATACCTAGTTATTTCACGGACTCATTCAGTATAAGTTAATTTCCCAAATAATGGGATTTTATATACTGGGCTAGTAAAAAAAAAAAAGATTTCAGGGAGATCTTTATAAAATTCAGTACACATCCTTGCATTCTTAATTTACATTTCTCATAATCTAAATTTCTCTTGGTGATTTGGTATAGTTATTTTTTGAGATCAGTAGTTTTTGGCCTTTGAGGTACTACTATGTGGGGGACATAAAATGGAATATGTATTAGCAGCTATCATATATTGAGTGTGCCAGTTCCTGGATTGTTGTCTTTAGTACACTACTTAATTTAATCCTCACAACAACCCTATGAGGCAGGCATAATCATCTCCATTTTACAAATGAGACTCTGGCACATAGGTATTGAGTAATGTGCTCAGGGAGGAGCCCACACTCCCAGCCTCTACCCTATTCGACTTCTGGAGTACTGATTTCAGTACTAATTTTGAAACTTGACATGAAGGAAATTTAAGAACCTAAATGAATTAAATCTAGCTTGATGACTGATCATCTGCTATATGTAAAGAACATTTGAGGCTACTGGAATGAACAAGATGAAGTCCCTTCACCAAACATAAACCAACTCTAACATACAGTGGAACTGGGAGTAATGTGCTGTTGAAATTAGAAAGCACCCTGGGAGCACAGGAGGTAGAAGTTCTTGAAGGTAGCATCTGTGGTGTGTGTGCACAGGATATTTGGAGTCTGAAGAACTACATTTGAACCCCCAGTTCTGTCATTGGCTGCAGTGATTTTAGCAGGGCGCATGGGCTGCTTATAAAAGCAGCAGAAAGAAAACCACTGTGATGATAAAGTGCATTGGTGTTCTCTAAACTATGAAAAGTGATACAGTTTAAGGTTTATTTCATCTGTGGGGATCAGGGGCTGCTTAAGCAGAAGGTGGGGGTGGGCCCATTCCTTGAAAGATGGATGGGATTCCAATACCACATGGGAGACAGAATTACATGGGGGAGGGCATTCTAGGTGGAGGAAACATCTGAGCAAAAATGTGCTGAGATATCAGAAAGATGCAGTGTGGTGCATGTTCTGGAGAGGTGAGTTATGTGTTTTGGGTTGAAATCGGGTCATCTAAGCGGTGAAGCAGTGGTAGAGAAAGCTAGAATGGTAGGTTGAATCCAGATCATGGAGAAAGCTTTGAGTGTCACATCTAAGCAAGTTGGATTTTATATGGGTAGTGAGGAACCATTCAGGATTTCGAAGCATTCTGTTGAGTAGATTGGAGGGATCCGAGCCTGAGGTGATGAGGACACCTGAAAGTCTCTTCCAGAAAGTGAGATGAGTGATGAGGGCCTGCTTGGAAAAGGAGAGAGCAGCAGTGGTGCCAAGTCCACTCGCCTGTTGATCATTTGCATCTCTGTCATAAAGTCAGACCAAAGAATAGACAGCTGACCATATCCTGGGCAGTCTTACTTGGCTGACTTTATTCATAAGGCCAAATACTTCTTTTCCCAAGTGGTAATCTGAAAGTCAGCCGAAATTCTACTGTTTCCATCAGTGTCCTTTGGTACAGTAATTTGGAGTGATAGGTGTTGGAGTTGAGGAAAACTTTCAGGGATGTTGACATTTAAGCTGAGTTTTACCAAATACAAAGGAGGTAGCCTGGTAGAGCTGGGTGCAGGGCTAATGGAAAGAAGGAATGGAAAGGAGGAAGAAAGAAGGGCGATAGCCAGGTGGACGAATGACTGTTTTAGGCAGAGAGAATCACAGTATCTATAAAAGCACGGTGACATCAGAGCACTGGTGCAGTGACCTACAGGTAACACAATGAGACTGAAGTTACAGGCAGTGCAAGTTGAGGGGAAGGTGCACAGAACAGCCACTGGGATGCTCAAAGAAATTATGAGCCGTCCCATTATGTTCGCTTGCTTTTCTCACCTTGTAAAGATTTCTACTTGGTAAATATGCTTTATAATATATGTGTTTTATTAGTATATTTGTACATAATTAAATATACATTTATTGGGGGTACATACTTTCTTTGAACTGATAAGGGTATGAAATCCAAAACGTTTGAGGTGACCAGTGTAGGGGAGTAGTGACAAAAATGAAGTTAGAGAAGTGTGCACCAACCCTGTGTACTTGCTGTTGATGCTTTGCTTTGAAAATTGTGAGGCACCACTGAAGGATGGATTTTCAATCCAGAAATGATACAATTGGGTTTTCATTATACAAAGATCAATCTGGTAGTATTTTAGGAAGATCACTCTGGACTGTGTTGTAAGCCTGCAAGAAGCAGAGACCAGGGAGGCTATTGCAGTCACCCAGGCAGGGAGTAATGAAGCCAGGATCAGGGTAATGATCATTAGAAAGGCAAGGAGAAAGATTCCAGAGGGATTTAATCAGGGTGATGGGCTGCTTGGACTGGATTATGGAGAAGTAGAGAGGGAGAAATCTACGAAGACTCCAAGTATCTGATTCGAGCTACCAAGGGGTTCTAGTGTTCCCTGACGGCAATATAGGAAGGAGTGTTTATTTTGGCTGTGATGAATTTAATATTTTAACTATTGATGGAACTGATGAATCGACTGATGGAGACATCACTCCAGAGCTGAGGTTAGAGGAATGGCCTGGGGAATGCAATTTGGGAATCAAAAGCAATAGTTGGTAGTGGAAATCCTGGGTGTGTTTTATAGTAATGACAGAAAGAATCATAATAAGCAGAGTAGCTCGCTCTGCGCCAGGCACTGTGCTAGGCGCGTCCATGCGTTACCCCGTTTACTTTTCAACCCAGTCTAACGACATGAAGACTGAGGTTTAAGAACAGTAGTGATTTACTCACAGTAACAGCGGTAGAGTCAGCCTTTAACCCATATTCCTCTGAAGACTTTTTCCCCTCACACTTGGTATTTTTCTCCCTTTGCATGAGATTTGAAAAGCCTCATGATACTGAAGGCTTCTAGGAGTTGCCTGTTTCTCTCACCTGTTGTAAGAGTGGTCTGGCAGGTGTGTTTACTAATATCACAGGTCATTTTTAAGCTTAAAAAACATCCCTTTGTGTCTCCTAGCTATTTCTGTCTCCCTTATCTATAGGGAAAGTATCCCTGAAGTATGTCGTTGGCTATTGAATTACTCAGTGGGAAGGAAAGGACCAAATGAAACCAATTTAGATAAGATAGAATGAATGTAAAGGGAGTGGCTGAGTTATTTTCTGGAACATGTGTTACATTTTAGTTTGAGTCAGGGAAGTAACACTAAAAGGAGGAAGGTAGTGAAGAAAAAAGAAATGGTACCATATTGTGCATCAGCCATGCGCCAGCTGTCACATAGTAAAACAACATTGTTCCCCTCAGATACACTTGTATTTCCAGAAGGATCTTTCACTGAAGGCAATTGTGATTTTAAAAAGTCAGGAAAAAACAAAACTATCACTTTTTGTTTTGTAGGAGATAGGACACTAGGGGTAAAGAGTTAAGCCCTTTCCTCTTTGATGATAATCTGACCTTTGGTTAACTCTAATTATTTCCCAGGAAACAATTAAAAATGGTGTTTGTTCCTTGGGAATGTTGTTTATGGTAAAGATACCTCAACTGGTAAATTGCACCTGGAGAGGGAGAATTATAAGAAAAAACTGTGGCTGCAGCCTCACCTATGCCAGCGAAGGCTGAGTGGGGAGGCTGGTCTACCCAACAGGCTGTAATGAGGTGCCCACCTGCCCCTGCCAGGGTGGTATCGGAGAAGACCGAGCAGGGAGCCGGAACTTTCATCTCCTCAGGAAGTGACCAGCTTTCCCCCTGTGCTGTATCAGTGGAGAAACACGGGAATCCTGAAATTCCACCCCAACCCAGCAGTGGAAATATTTTATGACAATTATAAATGATAGAGTGATGGGATGTAAAGAG